AAAAGTTTCTAATTCCCAAGTATTTGTGGTCATGTTGGTGAATATATACAGTTAAGTTCTGGTGTGTTCCACTGAAGGCAGAGAACAGACAGGTGCAATTTCTGCTTCTCTCTATTCACTTGTATTTTTCTTTATGGACTAATTAGATTATTGGCATAATATCTCAGCTCTTAACAACACATAAACTCTCCGTCATACAGTTAAACTCATGGTATTTGTTCATTTCCCCTTTCAATTACATGCACTTCTATGTCTTTCTATCTTTTACTTTACTATCATCTACTGTAACACCTCCAGTTATGACTATATTTCTATCCTTTTTTTTTCTGATTAGAATGTTTTCCTTGAAAGGGAAAAATAGAGAAAAAGAATCACTCACAATCTCTCTGAGTCACTATTAGTGTTTTGTCATATTATCCTTGCCTTTCTTCTGTGCACACTTCTTATGTAGATAGTAGGCATAACCTACATAATTTCTATAATTTTATTTTTAACTTAATAGTATAACATTTATAATTCTTTATAATTATAAAAATTCTTTTCAAAGATAATTTTAATGGCTACATCATATTTTATTTATTTTTTATTTTTTTGAGGAAGACTAGCCCTGAGCTAATATCTGTTGCCAATCCTCCTCTTTTTGCTGAGGAAGACCGGCCCTGGGCTAACATCCATGCCCATCTTCCTCTACTTTATATGGGACGCCGCCACAGCGTGGCTTGCCAAGCAGTGTGTCGGTGCGCGCCTGGGATCCAAACCTGCGAACCCCGGGCCGCTGTAGCGGAGCACGCGGACTTAACCACTGCGCCACCCGGCCGGCCCCTACATCATATTTTATAGTATGGCCTCACCATTATCTCTGTATTATTAGACATTTAAATTGTTTTGTTTTGTGACGATAACTAAAGCTCAGCGCACATTTTTGTGGTTAAAGCTTTTTCTGAATTTGGGGTTTTCTTTCTTTGCTTGATCTAGAATACACAGCACCTACTGCAGATCGAGTCCTGTGCGAGGCCTCAGGGACACAAAGATCTCAAGGTGACCTTCAGGCTGGTCCAGTGGAAGGAGACCACGGGCCCTTTGACAGATCATTGATTTAGTGGGATTAAATTGTGAAAACTAAGAACATTCCTTCGTTATATCCAAAAGGACTCTCCTGATTCACACCCTCACCAGGATATAAGCATGTAGATTCCACATCACTTCCACCTGCAGCGGGTAGTTTTATTTTATTTTTATTTTTATTTATTTATTTATTTATTTTAGTGTGTGTGTGTGTGTGTGTGTGTGTGTGTGTGTGTGTGTGAGGAAGATCAGCCCTGGGCTAACATCCATGCCCATCTTCCTCCACTTTATATGGGACGCCGCCACAGCATGGCCTGACAAGTGGTGTGTTGGTGCGCACCGGGATCCGAACCTGGGCCGCCAGCAGCGGAGTGCGAGCACTTAACCGCTATGCCACGGGGCCGGCCCCCTATTTTATTTTTAAAAAAATTTTTTTGGTGAGGAAGATTGGCTCTGAGCTAACATCTGTTGCCAACCCTCCTTTTTTTGCTGAGGAAGATTAGCTCTGAGCTAACATCTGTGCCCATCTTCCTCTATTTTATATGTGAGACGCTGCCACACATGGCTTGATGAGCGGTGTATATGTCCTTGCCCAGGATTCGAACCTGCAAACCCTGGACTGCCAAAGTGGAGTGCACGAACTTAACCACTATGCCACGAGGCTGGCCCCAGTTTATTTTTTTTAATGTGTTTCAAATGCTGGTTCTTTGTCTCTGTGTCCAAACTCCACTTCCTATCCCCCCAAGAGAATAGGGCTGGGACAAACTCTTGGGGAGGGGGTGCAGGACACAGGGGCTGGCCTGGGCTGGGTCTCAGCTGACTGAGGAGCCAGGTGCATGGAATCTGAAAATAGGGACAGGGTCAGGACCAAAAGAGGACATTCAGTCACCAGATCCAGGGTGCAGGGGAGGCCCTAGTATTGGGGTTGAGGCCAGAGGCCAGCAGGTAAGAATTCGGGGACACTGGGTCTCAGCCTGGACTGCACATGGGAACACCTAGGGAGGCCTTGCTGGAGATTCTAACAGGCCTAGGGGAGGCTCTGGCACTAGGATTTTTAAAAGAATCCCCCCAGGTGATCCTCTTGCGGTCCAGGGAGCAGGTACGCTAACCTGCCAGGCTCTGGGCTCTCCTCCCCATTTCTCCCCACCTTTGGTGGATCCAACTGGTTCTGTTAAAGTGGCCAGTGATAATCCGCATTTTCCTTTCAAAATAATTTCGTTTTGGACTCTTCAAGCCATGCACGTTCATTGTAGCAAATCATGAAAACAGAGAAAAGTACAAAGCAGAAAGGAGATGTTTTACATTTTTTTCCAACCAATGATTTATATTGATCTGCTGCAGTCTCGGCTCTCTGCAGGATTACGGACGGGCCCGCCTCCTGCTCCTCCTCCTTCAGTGCGATCATCTATTCGGGAGTTGAGATATTCTTCAGACTCTTAGAGCATTGTGTCTTTTGTAGCCTGACTGAGCACTTACTGTATGTTGGGTGCTACATGAGGCCACAGCGACCCAGATTTCAAGGAGGCCCCTGGGAACCTTCAGTCCAGTCATTTTAAAGGCCTTCTCCATGGATCCCACGTGCCATCTTTTTTCCTTTTTCTTTTCTTTCCATTCTTCCTGGAGATTACCGTGTTGACCTTTGTTGTTACGGCTGAGGTTTTCTTTGTTTCAGATGATTTTCTAGGTTTTCCATGGACCTTAAGGGGAGGCTGCTACTTCTCCCTCTGCAGTTTCCCACACCTCCTCCCCAGTAAGTCCCAAGGGAAGTCACTCTGTCTCCTGTAACCCTTCAGGAGAAATGGACATGTGCCTGCGCCCGGCGTGGTGAGGTCATAACCTCACCCTTTGGCACCGTCCCCCTTTCCACTCTGGGCATCAAGTCATTGGCCCTCATCTATCCTCTGGACTCCTCTCCCTGCACAGACGGGCAGCGCAGCCCTGGGGGGAGGGGTGGGCTCAGCCCTGAAAGGGGCTTTCAGTGGAAAGCCTTCCTTTCGCTCAGGCCTGTCACTGCTGCTCTCAGCAGAGCTGCAAGAACTGGGCCACACGGGGCCCAAACCTTCCAAGCCAACCTCAGATGGACTCCGGGCTGACAGAGGTGTTTATTGGTGTGTGACAGGGCCTGCAGGCTGGGAGACCTGATGGTTACAGCCTCCCTCTCGCCGTAATGAGTCATCGTGAGCGAGCTGGTCACAGCCGCACGATCTTCTCAATGGAGCAGAACTAGCCATGTGGGGTTTTGTTTTTCATTTTTCAAAACAGGGGCAAACGGTCTCTCTGTGCTCTGAAAATAGGGCACACATGGGACACTCGCAGCACGGAGGGAGGGGTGTGCACAACAGTGGGAAACATCCCACCACTTTGGAAACCCTCTCCCTGGGGGAGTCTCTCTGTCCCCAAAGCTGCACAGAGGGGTCAACTTCAAGCCAACGCCCAGTGCAGCTCCCTCAGAGACCCTTCTGGAAGGAGACAGGCGTCTTTACAGAGAAGAGCACAGGCAAATGCTTCGGGCCCAGGGCCGACCCCGTGGTCCAAAGACCAGCAGCGAGACCTGCGCTCTACCCCGAGAGGCGCCCAGACCACCCCACTGGGCGGTACCCTTTGGGCCACAAGGATGGAAAAGGCCAGCAGGAGGCCCTGAGGCTCCACGGGGAGCAAAGTGCAGGGTTTCAGGTAAGGCACTGACATGGACCAAAGCCCCTCTGAGCTGCCTCCCTCCACGGTGACCCAGGCCCTGGCCAAGAGTGATAACTAACATCAATTGTGCGGAGGGCCCCCGCTGTAGGGGGAGGCGAGTGGTCCCGACTGAAAGGGAAGCATTGGCTCAGGCTTCTGTAAAGCTCCCCCAGCCCACCAGGAGGCTCACTGCCCCCAAAATGGCCCAGCCCCGAAGGCCCAACATATCTGCGGTCTCAAGAGCAGAATCTTGGTCCTCTGCACCCCACACCCCTTCTCCCTTCTCCATTCCCCGTCCTGGTGCTGGTGGGGAGGGCTGTTATGGGCTGAACTGTGTCCTCCAAAACTCATATGCTCAAGGTCTCACCCCTAGCACCTCAGAATCAGACTACATTTGGAAAGAGGGTCTTGAAAGAGGTCATTAAGTGAAAATGCGCTCATTAGGGTGGGCCCTAATCCAATATGACTGGTCCTTAGAAGAAGGGGAGGTGGGGACATAGAGACAGCCAGAGAAAAAACCGTGTGAGGACGCGAGGAGGAGGTGGCCATCTACAAGCCAAGGAGAGAGGCCTCAGAAGAAACCAACCCTGCCGACACCTTGATTTTGGACGTCTGGCCTCCAGAACTGGGAGGAAATAAACTTCTGTCTTATGAGCTGCCCAGTCTGTGGTATTTTGTATGTCAGCCTAGGAAACTCACACAATGAGGGACAAGAAGAGGAGGAAGGGGGTCCAGGCCAGTCCCCATTTCCCCCACCTTAGGTCCACAGGACCTCATGTTTCTCCACCTTTAGGAGACCCTAAATAGAACCCCGACTTTCCCCAGAATTCAGGCTTAAAGAGAAACCTAACCTAAACAAGTGTCCAGTGAACACCAGAGACACCCACCTATAGACGGGTTGTGTCATGTTCTAAACATGAGGCAGGCTGGGGAAGCTCTGTAGGCACCCCCACTCTGAGAACCCCCAGGTCATGGAGAGACAACCCAGTAAACTCTGATATTCTCCTACCAGCAGGGGCTGAAATGGAGAAGGAAAGAACTGGTACTTTCTCTCCCTTGAGCAGGGCACTCACGGCTTGGTGGTGACCCCAAGAAAGAATTGAACCATAACTGGACTGTCTTTCCTTGAAGAGGTCCTGGGGGGACCTCGGGTGCTATGTGAGGGGTGGAGCAGAGTCTCTTGTCCGCTTCTGCCCTGTGGTCCCCCCCCACACCTTCTTCTGGCAGCACACGCACAGCCAGCCTCCGCACACCCTCACCTTGCCGCCTCCTGGCTGGTGCTTCAGGTTTTCGGTGGAGCCGATCTTGGACCGGACGTTCTTCAGGTCTGGCATGGGCACTGGGGCAGTCTGCAGGCGGCTCTTGGCTGAAGACGGCGACTTGGGTGGAGTGCGGACCACTGCCACCTTCTTGGGCTCCCGGGTGGGCGGGGTTGGCAGGGATGGGGTGCGGGAACGGCTGCCAGGAGTGCCCGGGGAGCCGGGGCTGCTGTAGCCACTGCGGTCCCCAGATTTCCCAGAGTCACCTAGAAAGGAAGGAGGGAGTGAGGCCCGGACTCGGGTGGGTGAGGGTTAGAAAAACCCCTCGGGGCTGCCTGTTTGGAGGGTCCATCCTGGGCTCGGGCCGGATCACGCAGGTGGGAACAAGGCCCGAAGCTCAGCCAAACCAGCAAAAGGCTGACCTTGAGCCATTTCTAGAGAAACGTCTCCTCTTTTCGCCCTTGTCACTTAGGGAGAGACACCCCATTTTCCAGGGAAGCAACAGAGTAGTCACCAAGGACCGCCCGGTACCCCCTCCTAGGAGGGGACCAACTCTGCCTCATGGCCCTGGGGTCAAGAGATGGGCTCCAACTAGCTTTGTGGTCTCAGACAAGTCACCTCTCCTCTTGAGCTCAGGGGCCTCAACTCGAAAAAGGAAATGATAATGCCTGCAGTGAAGGAGGCCAGGCGGGGATGCGTGAAAATGTGCTTCATAAAACTCTCGTGCAATTATATGTGGCCTATTCCCTGAATAAGGACCCAGGGGCCGCCTTCATCTGGATCCACTGGACCCTTTATCCACAGGGTAAATTTTAAGCTGTTCAGCAAGCTCAAGGCCCCTTTCCCATCAGACCCCTGCCCTCCCTCCCAGATTCCTCTGTGGTACCTGGGCTCCACAACAGTAAAAGCCTGCTTTGTGCCCACCAGTCCCTAGCTGTCCAAACAAGCCATGCCACTTCATGCTGCTGTGCCCTGCCCTGCCGTTCCCTCCCCAGGAACGCCCTTCCCCCCAGGACGTGTGGCAAATGCCAGTGCACCTTTCCAAACACAATGTGAGCGCCAAACCAGCCAGGATGGTGCTGGGACGGCTCCTCTCCCAACAGACTCAGCCTGTGCTCCCCACGTGCTTCTGTCCCTGCATTTCTCACATCCCCCATCAACAGTTTACTATTCCGTCTGCCTCATGGACCAGTGTTTCTCCAAGTGTGGCCCAGGGACCCTGCATCAGAACCTCTGGAGCGAGGGGGAGTGGGACCTGTTAGATGCAGACTCCTGGGCCCCAGCCAGACCCGCTAGGACGGAATCTCTAGGAGGGAGGCCTGTAAAACCAGCTCACCCCAAGCTCCCCGGGGTTCTTGAGCAGACTTGAGTCTGAGAGTCCCTGGGGTGGATGCTGGGCGTGGGGACGGCTTAGCTCCCTCAGCTCTGAGGGCGCCTGGCTGCTGCTTCTCCAAGCTTCCTGCAGAGACGCCCCACCCCCGCCCCAGGAACCATCTGCACCAAACAGGGACCTGTGGGCCCAACCTGGGGAAGGGCGGCCCTCTGGCGGAAGGGCTGTGCAGACAAAGGGCGGCGTTTCTTGTCAAGGGGAGATGGAGCACCGCCATTTTTAGAGTTTGAATTTCTGTGTCGTTGCATATCCCTAGGTCGTCAAGCTCTGCGGCAACAGGACAAATGAAGCCTTTTCTCTTTTTTCACATAAAGAGACAACAGACAGGGCCTCTGCCTCCAGGCTCAGCCCCTCTGGCTGCTCAGCCCCTGCTGCCCCCAGACCCAAGCTGACTGGTCGCTGGACTTGGTGGTGGCTTCAAATCCTTTCTGCGACACTTAATTGCAGAGTGACCGTAGGCAAGTCGCTTGACCTCCCTAAGCCTGTGTCCTCGTCGGAAAACTGAGGAGAGTGGCGCTGGCCCACAGTGCTGTGTTTTGAAGACGATGTTGTAACAGGCAGAGTGTCCAGCATGGGGCTCACAGGGTGTGTGTCTAATAAATGCCAGCAGGCATCTCACACCTAAACCCTGGGTAGGGGCGGTCCACACCGCCAGCACCCACACCCAGCTCGAGGCACATGCTCCCCTGGTCCGCCCCAACAGGAGAACAGGCAGGATTAGAAAGTCCCTCAGACAGACACATCCCACAAACCACACACAAGAAGAGGAGCAGGAATTTCTTCTGTTCCAGTTTCAGGCTCAACGTGTGAACTCTGCATTTCAGAAGCAAGTCCTCCCAGCTCTAAAACCTAAGCCAGCGAACAGCCACGCACGCAAAGGGGTGACCCCACTGGGTGAAGCAGGCTCAGAATTACCTCTCTCAGATTTTGCCCCTGCCGGGGGTGGTTTTCTCTGCACTTGCTTGGTAGCTTAAAAGAAAAGTCCACAGAAAGTCTTGTTACAATCAAGCTTAAACGGGGCCTGAATGAGCCCTTCTTCATGCTGTGGGCACCAAGCCACACCCGGCACGGCCATTGGTGGAGGCCAGCGAGGCAGGGAATGGGTTCAAGGAGCAGGGGCCCCGTCTGGCAGGAAACAGGTCAAGGGGACCCACGGGGGGTCTGTCCACCGGCAAGCCACCACCCAGGAGCAGGTAAGATTCAAGGAGAAACGCACATGCTGTTTCCAGTTATGACTCCAGCTGTGCCAGCCAACTGGCAGAATGTGAAGTGACAAAGCAAGACCAAAATCATCTATAGAACATAATCACACCGATCCTGTTAATTACCCCATAGCCTGTGTATTAGACACACGAGAAAGAACACTGCGTGAGAAAACAAACCAACAGCCTAATGAGCCGCCGTCCTTGCAGGCACCGCCCTCTGGCAAACTTGGGCCCAATGCCATGGCAAAAACACGCAGCAGACAAGGGCTCTGACTGTCACCCCGGGCCAAGGAGCAGCAGAGACACACTGAACCAGCCCAGGCCTCATGCAGCCCCTACAGGATCCAAAGTCCCCCTGAGCGCCACCCAGAGGCCCTAAGCGTGCAGAACCCAAACCCGGCTGCCTGGGACAGGTTGCCTGGGCAGTGGAGAGGGGAGCTCAGCCTGGCTGTCCCCAAAGAGGAGGACTACTCTTCATTGCATCACTGGAAGCAAAATTGCTCGCTGAAGCCTTGCCTGGTTCTCAAATCAACTGGGTTCTACTCACAGAAGCCCAGGGGGACAGGCCTCAGGTTCTGTCAGAGGGTCCCTCACATCCCCAGCAAGTTAAGCTGCACAGGGGCCGCACCCTGTGTGAGGTCGCCCACAGTGACCCATCCAAGCTGCCCTGTCCACAGAGAGGCAGCACCCGGGTATCACTTGGGGGCTGAAAAATGCCTCACAGGGCCCTGGACTTGGGGTCAAAGAAGCTCAGAGAAGCCCCTTTCCTGAGACTTATCAGCCATGTGGCTGCATTTTCCTCATGCTTTAAATGAGCTGGTCGGACCTGGTCATGCAAACTCTCGGAGCCTCGATGTCTTCACTGATAAAAAGCAGGGATTCAATATCAACCTCAGAAAATCGTCAAGAGGGTTAGAGAGAAACTGAACATTTCGCTGTTTAGTAAACTGCAGGCGTCAATCAGCCACCAGAGGTTATTAATTGTCAGGGGCCTTCAGACAGACTGAGAGCTTCACCTGACCCAGGGAACATTCTTCTTACCAGAGCCGGGTGGGGTCTTCGGGGAGGGTGTGGTTTTCGCTGGAATCCTGGTGGCGTTGGCCTGGCCTTTCTGGCCTGGAGGGGCTGCTCCCCGGGGTGTGGCAATCTTCGTTCCAGCTTTATCCGCCCCCTGTGAATGAAAGCACGGGAGAGTGGTTTTTACGACTGAGAAAGGTTATTGTCACCCAGAGTCAACGCCAGCCCCACTCAACCACCTTGACTCAAATGAGGCTCCAGTTGGGGTGACCTTTTGCCTACTAGATGCAACAAATGGCTTCTCAATCACAAAAGTCTGCTGGACACACAAACCCACAGCCCCACCCAAACGCCAAGCTCCCTACCATTGCCTTCTAGAGGAATTGTTTATATGAGTTATCAGCATGAGTTATGCTAATGTATTTAACAAAAGGCCACAGAGCTTATAGCGAAGATTGGGTCATTATCCACCCAGTGTGGACAGCAGGACAGTAGTAGACCTTGCCTATGCGGACACCCATTGTCTGACTCTCCTCAGGGATTTATTTGATTGATGGTGGTTGGTTTCACCAGAGGTCCTTGGAGACATTGTTTGTTGAACCTGACCGAGAGTGCTAACAGAGCTGGTCGTATTCTTTTGTTCTCTCACACACCCTTAGGTTTCAGTGACTCCTTAGGTGTGCTAAGAGCCCCTGGTGGGGTGAACACCAGCATCAATTAGCAAACTGGCTACGGGTTAAGAGCAAGTCTACACAAGCACGGTGTGCTGATCGGGGGCAGTTACTGGGGCTGTTTACCCAGTAGATGACCTTGACATATAATACAAACTCCGAAAAGAAACTGACGTTAACGGGGGACCATAAAATGGTTCAGGTGGGAGTCAACTAGAGGCACAGGCGTTGCTGCATAGCGATGCTATCCACCCCAAAGGAGGGCAGTCTGGGAGCACTCCAGTTACTGAAGTCGGGAATGGACAAAGGAACCCACATAGGGTGGTGATTTTCAAACCAGCGTCCCATCAAGTGCCTTAGGGGCTGCTGCTATGAGGGACCCAGGGGAGCTGAGGAGGAGGGCGACAAACCCTTTTTCCCCGGTTCAACCAGAATTTTAACTGTTCTACATGATGCTTGTAGGTAAGCTTGTAGCTTATCTGAAGAAAGGTCTTTGTGGCTTAAAAAAAAAGAAAAACATTTGAAAACCACGTTAGAGCAGCCTGATTCTTTTCAAAGGCGGTTTCCTTACCTTGACTTTCATCTCCTTTGCTCCAGAACTGCCAGTTCGGGGTGTGACAGAAGAGACGTGTTTAGGAGAGGAAGATGGCTCTGGGCACACGGCAGGGCTGGAGGGTTTGATCAAAGGGTCTGAGCTACCAGGAGTGGGGCGTTGGGGGCTAAGGCAAGGCCTATTTTTCAAGGTTTTAGCAGAGGAAGGTGTGGATGTCTTAAACATAAACATAAATAAAATCAAAATAAAAGTCAGTACATGGGGGAGGGGAACAAACTGAAAAAGGACAATAACTAAAAATAAATAAGGCAGGTGATGGTTTAAAGCAGTGGTCTCCAAACTATCTGGATCATGTACCCTCATCAGTCTTTCTCATCAGTAAGAACAGAAAGTGACCACGCCCCTCACATACTTGTAGTTACTTATCAGTTACACATACACCTCGATGCCAATATATGAAGACTTACATATGATAGGACTTTTAAAAGAGAAGATGAAAAATGGATAGAAATTCCAGTATGTTCTTTCTCCAGCCCATTGGATCTTCCTGTGCCCCCCCACTTTGGAGACTACTGGTTTAAGGGTGTTTCACGCCCCAAAAGTCGATGGAGATCATTGAAGTACATGATTCTTGGGCTGTGTCTCAAGAAAACATCCCCAATGTGTCCTGGGTCAGAAGGGCTCCACTTTCTGCTCAGTTCCAGGGGAGGGGCTCATGCTGTCCCGCTAACCCTGGGCCCTCTTTCAGCACACCAACAGACTCATACTTGCTAAAATCAGAATTGTGCCTGCCCTAAGTCTTAAAGATTCTGCCTGACACCACTTAGGTTATGCGTGCACACACAAGCTTTCTGATTAAAGTCTCAAATAAAACTAAACACTATCTGATGAATCCTACTCTTGCCAGTGTTTACCCTTGAACACGCTCCACTTAAGGAAATGGCCTGGGTGGGGCGGGCGGCCAATGGGACAGGTGTCTGTGAGCTGGAAGACTTCACAGAGGGAGCTGCCCCCTTGAGACAAGGGCACTTGATGGATGGTGGCTGACACCTGGGGTTTGTCCTAACTGCCTCTGGGGGACTTTGACCGGGAACCATGGCCCTGGTGGAGGAGGACGGTCTGGGAGGGGGAGGAGCTGTGCCTTTAGGAATAAAACAGAGAGGCCAGTCTAGAGGCGTCCCAGGGAGGGAGTCAGAGCTACAGAGCAGGGTCCTGACTGGAGACTTCCTTAGGCTTCCTGGGTTTGTTTCCATCACCCGCGGATTCCCCACAGAAGTGGCTGAGGCCCTCTCTGCGGCCAGCCTTGGCAAGGAGGGCACAAGGATGGAGCAGGGGTCTGAGGGGAGGGATGCAGGCTGAGGCTCTGGGGCCGGTGGCAGGAAAAGCTGGGGTGGGTACTGGCAACTCCTCCTTCTCTAGCTGCACAAGGCCCCCCTCCACTGGCAGTACTCCCTAACTGGCCAAGGTCCATGAGATCTGACCCCTTGCCCCCTACCTGGCCAAGGTTCGAGAGATGTGACCCCTCAGTGGGAGGCTGCAAGCAACTCCAGGGCAGGGACATTATACCCGTGTGTGCGAATGAATGAACGGAATGCATGCATGTATGAGGCTGGGATTCCCCTAAATGTGCATCATGCTTGGCAAGCAGCCATTGCTATGGCTTCAAGCCTCCAGGGCAGAGCCCTCCAAGTCCCTGTGGGACCCTCAGCTGCCTCACTGGGGTCTTGTGATGGCGAACCCTGACTTCCTACAGTGTGGGCACTTCGGGGAGCAGCCCTCAACATGCGCTACCAAACTCCTAGACCTACAAGTCTGCAGCTGGGGACTCCATCAGGGCTGCAGGACTGATCAACACCCAGATGTTTCAGCTGGGATTTATATCGGAAATTTTAGATGCCTTTAAGAAAAATAGGTCCTCATCTCCAGCCACAGTGGGGTTTTCCTGGGAAAACCCTACTGTGCATTTACAAGAGAATTTTCCAAGATGCAAAGTCATTAAGGGAGTAAACTACATCTGAAAGGAGGCACTGAGAAGGACGGGCATGGTTCTGGATGCACCTTTGGTGCCAAGCAGGCCGCTTCATTTACTGCTCCCCGGGCTTGTTTCTGGATTGACTAAAGCAAGTCAAGTCACCACCTTGGCAAGATTTCAAGATGGCGTCTACCACACCCCGGCCACACCTGTCCCCTTAGCATTCAGAGTGGGTGTCAGGTTTCCCTCGTCCAGCAGCCTTCCCACCCCGTCAGCCCCACTCCCCTCCAAAGCAACTAAGCCGATCTGCTTGGAGTTCTCAGAACACACTTTGTCTCTTCATGCTTCCGGATCTTTGCTTGTGCTGTTCCCACACCTCGGAGTGGCTTTTCCCACCACTGCCTCACCAACCCTCCTTTATATTTCCTTCCCAGACTGCCTCATAGGCCCTCTCTTCAGGGCCTTTCCAGAACCTTCTGCCTTAGGTTGGAGATCACACTCCTTCAGCCCCCTAAGTAAATTTTCCATGTATCTTAAATATGTGTGTGTCTCTGCGTGTGTTTGCTGAGCCTAGTTTTGCAGTGGGAAATGCAAGATGTGCAAAATTCAAACTTTATTGCAGAAAATTCAAACAGACCTTCATTTACTGTAAATGTCTCATTTAAACTACACTAATGCAACTGCAATTAGGAGCATTAATTCATTCACCTGCTGCCTGCCCCTCCCTGGCATAATTACCAAAATGGATAAATGCTGGAATTTTAGAAGTTTGCATAAAAACACAAAGCACTTTGAATGACAGTTGTACCTCAGTGACAAACACTCCCCACGTTATATATAACAATTATTCAGATATAAGTGTGGCTGCTTGATAAACTTGGCAGCGGCAGCAAGTTCCGTGGTCTCGTCAGCTTACCTTGGATTTTTTCTCCTCGCTTCCAGTCCCATCTTTGCCTTTACTGACCATGCGAGCTGATAAAACAGAAAACGAGAATGTACGTTACACCCGTTTGCACAGCTCACGGAAGGAGCCTGATGTAGTCGGCTGATTTCTCAGGATCTTGTTCAGTGGGGCTTGGTGGAAACCCACTTGACTTTCTCTCCCCTTGGATCTGTTAGCTCTCATGTTGTTAGTGTCAACACAGCACACTGGGGTCATTGCTCGGAGCACCCTGGCAGGAGGGGGCAGCAGGCTGGCCGAGCGTGGGGACATGCAGAGGGGACACAGTGGAAACTGTTCTGGGCACATATCGGCACAGAGGCAGTCAGAGAAGGTGGACAGCGCAGGCCCCCTTCCACAGCTCCCTCCCTGTCTCAGCCACAGTCAGCCCCCCAACTGGGGCTGACCCCACTCCAAGGAAGGGCATTTGAAAGCCCCAGGACCACAGACAAGGCAGCTCAGCCAGGCTCCGGCCCCCTGCAGGACCTGCTTCCTGCTTGCGCTGTCACCCAATGAGCAGGGTGAGTGAGTTGTCTTCCCAGAGCCTGCCCCTCACTACTAGGGGCTTCGGTCACCAGGCCCAGCTGCTTCCCTACAAGCCCATCTCACCCCTCATCCAGCCCTGGAGGGTCTTCTCACCACCTACAGGGCCCCCAAGGGGACTAAGTCTTGCCATTTTCCCAGATTAGCTACAAATTAGCTACCATCAAACATCCTACAGATAACCTCTGGATTTAGGACCAAACCATTGATGGCTTTTGTGTTTAGAAAGCCACACCCCTTGGTGAAACCAGTCCACTTCACTTGTCTACAGGGTCACCTCTAACTCATCCTTTCCTTCTATCGACATTCATTGTTGAAAACTGATTATAGATTTTCCTCTTTGGTTTCATTATTGTATTTCCACTGCCCCAAGGACAATGGGGCCTCTTCGACCTTCTCACTGGCCACTGGAGACTAGATTTCTAGAATGACCAGCATTGATGATCTAGCCCAGAGGTTTTCAAACTTTACTGTGCAGCAGAATCACTGGGAGAAGTTGCTAAAATACAGACTCTGGGGCCCAGCCAGAGACTCCGTAAACCTAAAGTGGGGCCCAGGAGTCTGCATTTTAATATGAGCCCCAGGTGGACCTGATTCACATCCTTTTCCCAATTCAACCAGCATCATCCATGTCCCAAAAAGCATCTGCTAGATCAGCATTTCCCAAATTGGGTACCACGGAACAAGCCCTCTTCCAGGAGATGTCAGCAGGTGGGATCAAATGAATTTGGGAAATTCATACTATGTATCCTTCTCAGAGGGTCATAGTGTGCACTAGAATATTAAAGGATCTGACAAGTCCTGCAGCAGGAAACCCTGTTTAACTTTGTTTGGCGTGTTTCTTCTAAACTTATTGGATTACGGAACCCTTTTTCCCCTGGACACACTATCAACATCCAGTGGACCAGTATTTAATAAAACATCATTTCAGGAAACATGTTGTTATCTGTCAAGTCACAGTTACTTGTCCCCTACTATTTTGGAATTTAGGATATTTAAAAATAGGATATAAGATTTTTTTTCTGTCTTAAATTTTAAATACAGGTTCCTTTATCTACAACATTTCAAACTTTTCTTGACAAGTAGAATCTAATAAAAATTTAACAAATATTTGCAACTGACAGGTTACGTAACATCAATTGCTGGGCCTCACAAATAATTCGAAAATGCTAAGGGTCTTCACATAGTAATGTGCCCCACTTGTGGCCCTGAGCCTCCTCTGGGATATGAACTGTCCTCTCGCTGACAGGACACAGAGATCCTGACTCGTGGGACCCTCCCCTCCCACCTCTCCAGCCCCAGAGAGCTGCTGTGACCGTGTTTTCTGGGGTTTCCGAGGGAGCTGGGGCTGAGACCCCTCAATCCCAGCACAGGGACGCCCCAGGCTCCGCCAAGGGAGGAGGTGCTTGGACAGGAAGATGTTGTTTCCACTCATTGTCTCTCCCGCCACAAGGCAAGGTGGTGTGGGGCTGGGGGTTGCTGGGCCAAAGGTTCAGCGTGGGCTCTCGGCTACCTCCAAACGCTTGCGTGCGTGTCGCCTGCTGTGTGAGGTGTTGTCCACTGACAAGAGCAGCAGAAGACAGGCTCCCACCCTCTGCATCTCAGGGTTAGGAGAACACTCTTCAGAACCTTCTGGAAGGCACTGTGTGTACAGGGAAAAGTGTGTGTTTCAGAGCAGACCTACTTGGATTCTGAACCTGGCTCTGTCACTTACTACTTGGCGACTTTCAGCAAGTTACTTTACCTCTCTGAGCCTCAGTTTCCTCACCTGCAAAGTGGGGCTAATTATGCTCACTTGGGAGGGCTGGGAGGGTTCTAGAGAGTGAATTTAAGGCACATAATAAGCCCTCAAAAATGGGAGCAGTTGTCATCCTCTCTGTGGAGTGCGGCCCACCGACCTCTCGTGGGCTGATGGACCACCGTGGATAAACCGAGTGACTGGAGAAACGGACAGGGCAGAAAGCACCGGGTGGGGTGTTGGTGACATGCAAAATGGCGGGCAAGCGTGAGAGCAGCGCGTGCTACTGGAGCCTGAGGGCACGAGGAGGCCGCGGGAGGGTGAGTGGCAGGGCCCTGGTCGGTCTAGTGGCTGTCCCTCGGGACCTCGGAAGCGGCAGGACTCAGGCGGGGCCGGAAGCTCAGTGGCACGGCTGCAGCCCGGGTGGCATGTGAGGTCACTGGGAAGGAGCCGAGGAGCTCAGACACAGACCTTTGAGTTGAGGAACCCGGCTGACGGGCTTCCCCGGCAGGCCAGCTGCAGGCCGCTTTTCCGATGGTTCCGGAAGGTCAGTCTTTTTTGTGTCCTCTCCCTCAGAGGGGCCCTGGGGCTCCAGCTCCTCTCCAGGGGCCCCCGGAAGTGCAGCCCCTTCCAAATCCACCTCTGAACGAGCCTGTCCCTTCTGCACGTTGGCTTTGATTTCCACATGGAACGTGAACTCGGGGGGCGCACCGTGGGGCCCTGCGCTGGGCCTGTTGGGCTCTGAGACCCGGGTCTCTGTGGTAGCTTTGGAGAGGAAATCGACAGGGAGGGGGATGGCACCCTCAGCTGGGAACCCAGGGGTGCCAGTGGCTTCTCTGGAAACTGTCTGGGGGGATGGCCTGCCTTGGGCTGGGGAGATCTGGGAGGGAGGGGAGTCCTGGGGTGAGGACTCATCGATGTCGCGGTCCTCATCGACCTCCTCGCCCCCCAGCCTCTCTTTGCCCTGGACCCCCTTCAGAGGCAGCCCTTCCTGGTGCAGGTCTCCCAAAAGCTGGCGTTCCAGCAGCTCCGAGCCGTGGCGGCTTCCCTCTGTGTCCTCAGGTTCTGTCCCCAAAGGCTGGTGTGTGGCCTCTCTGGGGACTTCAGGCAGGATGGGAGTCCCAGGCACGTCGGGCACAGGCTGGCGGGTCAGACCCAGGGTTCCCAGGGCCGTGGCCTCACCTCCGCGGTGCCCTGGCTCCCCGAGGAAGCTTTCCTGGACAACCGTGACACTCCCAGGCTCCGTCTGGAGACAGACAGGGGAGGTGGGCTTCGGAAGGGCCAGACCCTCCTGGGCCTGGTCCTCTTGTTTTGGTCCCCACTCCTGGTGGGGCTCCTGGGGGCTTCCTGTTGGAGGAGGCGGTTGGCAGACAGGATGATGCTGAGAAAGGCGAGAGATCACCAGGACAGGATCTTCTGGCTGTTTCTCCCCCAGAGGCAGCACGGAGACCCCAGAAGCTTCTCCGTCACATCGAGGCTGGGCCTGAGAGCTAAGCCCACTGGCCAGGAGCCTCTCAGGCGCCTCCCTCTGCTGGCCTGGAACTCTCAACTCCTCTGGGTTTGAAGATGCAGCGGTGGCAAAAGGTTAGCAAGGGCACATTAATTATTTAAGAGAGGGACACACACTTGAAATAAGACAAGGACATTTGAAGGGCATCACAAGCCCGACTAACAAAGAAAAAGGAGCACATACTCTGCTCATCCTCGCTGATCTGTTTGCTCAGAATGAAAGTTCTCTTGGTCTACCTGCCACCAACTCGCTGGGTGAGTATCTCCCCTCTCTGGGCCTCAGTTTTCTCATCTGTAAAAGGGGGGCTCGGACCCAGTGACCTCCAAGGCCCTTCTAGCACTGGCGTTACTCCTCTGCCGACTGCAGGCTCAGAGTACCTGGGCATTTCCAGGCCGTGGCCCTTGCTGCGGGACTGCCTCATGCTTACTCTACCATGCTGCAGAAGCTTCTCCTTCTCTGGGGACTTGGAGTCTCCTGGAGATTCTGGCCTCTTAGCTTGGTTCCACTGAGGATCCCCTTTCCTCTCTCTCTCTCTGCTCCCTGTTTTGCCAAATGAAACCAGAGGGTGCCCCAAATCAACCCTTCTCCAAGCCCTTGCTCTGATAGATTTGGAAAATCCAAAATTTATCATTGTTAGCGCTCAAGTCTTTACTAATAAACCTACCATAAGATTCCTATAAACAGAAACATGATCCAGATTCATCCAGCTCATTGATCATGGACAGGCCTTCTGCATCAGGTGGGGCCGACCATGGTGGCAATACAAGGCCCTGCACAGCTAAGACATCGCCAGCCCATGGGGACCACTGCTATCACTGGTCACACAACTTGCTGCATGGCAACCCAGTTGATGGAGGGCACACTTCATTTTTTTCTGGTTCATTCATGCATCATTCATGTGAATCCCTCCTTAGAGTATCTGACTGTGTACTAAGCATGGGAGAGTTATGCTCTTTGGTTCTCCTTATAAATATCCTTTATTTTTTTAACTCCCAACCCTTCAAACATCCTCCCTAGTCCCAATAGAATAACCCACACAATTCTCCAACTCTCCTCTAGACAAAACCTAGAACCCCAAAGGATCAGGTGCTTGGAGGAGGAGGAGATTGGACGAGGTGAAGGGAGGGAGGTGGGAGGAGCATGTGTTGTGGGCAGTTGTGGACACACCCAGGTAACACGTGACCGTCTCTCTCCCCAACCCCGTCGGAGGAGTCCATTATAGTTGCCTGCTGACTTGCTAAGCTAACAAGAGGCCGGGCCAGGGCCGGCCCTCACCTCTCACCCTTATTCTAGGCCTCGAGCTCATGATCTCATTCATTTCATGTTCCTGGTATCCTGACCACAGTGCCTGCCACACAGTGGACAATCAATACATGAATCCCGTGTGGATAAACTGGAGTCAGGAAACTGTGCTGATTTCTGCTTTCTGCAGGTTCTACAGGTGCCTTAATGGGGCCCTTGGTCAGTCCCGGGAAGAACAGCTCAAAGGCCAGAGATGCAGGAAACACTCACGGCGGGAGGCAACCTGAGCAGGTGCCTCCGCACCAGGACTCCTGTCAACTAACCGGCTCGACAGACCAGAGGTGGCGGGAGTGCTGGTCATGACTCCCCACCCGACAGGCCAGGGCCCCACTGCCTTCCTGAGAAAGCTTTCCTCTCCGAGCTTCCCAGACATTGCTCTTGATGGGGATGTTACTGGAATCTGACGCACTGCAAGACGCTCATTAAAAAAGAGACAAGGGCCCCAGACACAAATAGTAAACATGCCTTGAAATGTCATCAATAGATGAGCACAGAGTGTGTGCGTGTGTTGATCAGCGAGGAATCTAATGTAACGCAATTACAGGCCTGGAGGAAGGAGCCAGGCTGGGGGAATATTCTGTTCAGTTCCCAGGATACTATGAAGTGCTCAGTAAATATTAAACACAGCAATCACTGGGGGCGGGGGAGTCCAAGGTAAACACTATCTGGGCAAACACTGCGATGGCCTCAGGAATCCTGATAAACCGTCCCCCACACCCTCTCAGAAGGCCTGGTCCCCGTGACACTTAGAGGAGAAAGTGAGCAGGACACGGGTAAGGCCCTCCCACATCTTACTCTCAGCACATCGCAGCGCCATCCTGAAACACCTTTTTCTGTCTTAGGTGCTTCATGAACACAGGCTGCCAGTGGTTTTCCTTCTGCAGCAGAAACAGCAGGGAAGAGATCTAATAACTATGCTTTTGTTTACACGGCTCTTCCTAAATTTGATTGTTTTAGTACAAAATAGTATTTGCTGCAGGCCTTCAGCAAATAAAGTGTGTGTGGATCACCACTGTGTCCGAATTTCACGAGGTTTCACTGGAGGGACCCGGGCTTGGTCATTTGGACCAGCAGTCCCAGTCAAGGCCTTAAACGCTGGCCTTGAGAGCAGAGGTAGAAGCCTCCACATGTGCACAGATTGGGTGCGGATTTCCCATCGCAGGTGTTGTGTTCATCTTTATATCTACATGATTCTAGGCCACTGTCGGAAAATTTAAGAATTCAGTTAGCACAAAAGTAAAGTTTCCAGGAAAGATGTTGGCCTGATCTTTTCATTGCATGGAATATGTTTTAGGGACATGTAGACACAGCCTGCAATAAAAATTTGTAGAAAAAAAATCAAATTCACTTCTTTTTATGGAAATAAATGATCACTTCCAGAGGTTATAAAAGCCTCTAATTTTACCTCAGCTGAAAATCATGACCTTAACGAAACAAGAGGATTCTAGATATTTAACACATAGACTGAGGTTCCCCCTTGTACTGATTACTCCTTCTAACGTTTGTTGAAGCTCTTTGTAAGTCTAAGAACGAAAACACGCCTTTCTGTGCCTCTTGAGATGAGAAACATCAGCCCACTAGGGGGCAGTGACCCCTCTGCGAGTAGAAATGTGTAGTCAGGCCTCAAAATACCCTCAGTGAGACACTTCCTCAGGCCCAGAGTCTTCCTAAAGCCAGAAGGCCCCAGTGGTGGCACTAAATGTTGGACAAATCCTATATCACTTTCTGGAGAAAAGAACAGCGTCTTCCCAGTTCTGTTGCAATCTAGAAGCTTCCACATTATACAATAGACTCTCAAGTTCATTTATGCAGCAAATGACAGAAAACAAACCCAGGCAATGTTGTGTCAGAGGTCTCCATTACCTAAGATAACAAATCTCTAGGATTTTAAAAGTTAAGTTCTCAAAACATTTACGATACATGATTACAGAAGGTTGCTTTTCTTGAACACAGTAGTTTTGGTCCCTGAGAAGGAAATTATAATAAAGTTTGAAGGATGCACAGAAGAAAGCTGAAAAGAAATAGCTTGGTGGTGATATGGCTGACGCCTTGCTCCCGGGACAGGCCAGAAGCAGCCTGTAGGGAGGACGGCCCATGCTTCATAATTGCATTTCTGTCAGATGTTCACTCTCGACTCCCCGGGCTGGACGAGGCCAGCTTCTCTCAGAACACTGAAAACCTTAGCAATGACTCAGAAATAGTTTTAGAAAAACCCAAAATGCTGGAGATCTTTCTATATCTGAATAGCCCACTTTGATAAGAACCAACTCCTAAAAATCTCCTGGACCCCTGAATTAGGGCCCAGGTCCAGATTCTCTCTTCAGGGTCGAGTCCACCTGAGTGTTGCCCTCTCCCTCCTCCCAACCCCAGGTCGTAGTCGGCAACCCCAGCCCACTGACCTTGAGTCACGTGTCCAGCAGCTTGGTCTTCCAGGTTGGGGGTGTCTCCAATGCCCGCTTCTTCAGCTGGTTCATGTGTCAGCAAATAAAGAAGATAAAAGCAAAGACAGTTATTGTTTGCTAGAAACAAAGCTCTCTGCATCTTCTGGTATTTTTCTGAAAACATTCAAGAAAGGCACACCTCAAAGGCTGCACCTCTGGCTCTTTGCAAATGTTATTGCCGAGGACGTTGATGAAAACAGCTCATTACACAAACCCCACACACCCACACACCTTACAGGTGCCCACGATCCAGTAGGAAAGACCTACACAGTGGGCCCGGGGTCCTGAGCACCCCACTCAGCAAAGATGCACAGCATGGGTGAGGTGAGAGGAGCGATTCGCTGCTCAGCCACTGCCAGGGGAGCCGTGTCTGAGTGGCGGCTGCACTCCAGCCCAGCCAGCGCTCCAGGGGGGCCGGAGGCGCGGGGAAGGACTCAGCTGTGGAGTCAGGCTGGGGTTCACACACAGGCGTCACCATTTACTTAACCTCTCTAAGCCTCTGTTTCCTCATCTGGAACCCCAGGTGATGATAGCGGTTTGTCCTGTAGGAGTGTGGTAAGGGTTAATACGAGAATTTGTGTGAACGTCTTTAGCAAAGCGCCTGGCATATGGTAGGTGTCCCAAAGCTCCAAACTACTGGGCAAATCCCTTTAACTGCATGCCCAGAATAGGAGCTACCTGGTTAGAGGGAGACCAGCACTGCCAGTGAGCAGCTTTTGGGGTGTCTTGGGTTCCTGCTTAGGGAGCCACAGCTCACCCTAAACAAAGAAGACTGAGAAAGGTTCCTGACCACATCATCAATAGTACTGAAATCAATAAGCTTTCATACAAAGCCAATTTCTGTATCATGAAAAAATCAGGATATGGCTACAGGACAATGGATAGAACTGTCCAGAAGAAAGAGTCTATAAGGCAAGTTGACCATGCATTGACAGGCACTGGCCTCACGATCCCAGAACCAACATGCCCTGATGGACAGCGACAGAGAGCCACTGCCCTGAGAAATGCCTACAAGTTGCTGGCTGGGCCACCAGTCTTTTCTCCCAGACCTGCAATGACCCAGTCTCCACACCTGAAACAGAGATGCCCAGTCACCTCGACTGGCCAGCCCACCACGGAGAGCACGGATGAGGGAAAAGAAAGATTCCCCGGGTCGCTGGAAGCTACATGATGGCCTTATAAACACCCAGCCCGTTGGCTGGCCCAGGGCAGCTGTGGTGAGAGCAGGAGAGGCCTGCAGTGGGCTCGAGAAGCTCCCCATCTGCCAGCTCATAGGCACGAACACCTCTGGATCCCCTGCAAACTGATGCTGTGTGGCCCGTGAGGTCTATTGGTGACAGCTCCACGTCATTTGACAGCAGCCAACTGTCTGGGAGGCACAGCTCCGAGTACAGATTTGGTCTGAGTTTCTCACAGGTTATGGGAGAAAGGCTCAGAGTGACAGTAAGTCCAGCTAAATGGCGAGGAGTGCTGAAGACACAGAACACGAGGAGACGTTCTGGGATGACGTCATCGCTGTGGCACTGGGAAGTCGACCCGCTTTCACATACCAATGCAGAGTGCGATATCCTGGCCCTGGCACGAGTCAGAAATTGGAGGCTGCTGATAACTCTGATGCCCGCCCCGATCCCAGCAAGGGAGGAGCTCAGAGAAGCCAAAGGGAGGGACGGAGGCTGTGCGACAGTGGCTGGGCCATCACATCACTATATAGCCTCTCCATCCCCCTGGAGCCCCAAGAAGGAGTCAGGGATTCCTGCAGTGGGGTGGCCACACCGCACCCCCAACTGGACCTCAAATGGGAAGTCCCACTGGAGCACCATGATACAGCCAATGGGACATGCCAAGCAAGGTGCTAAACCAAGGCACATATTGTCGAAGTGAACAGCTGAAAAAATGTCTCTCTGACTCTAAAACCTCCCACCTCACTGAGGATGTAAAGGGCAGAGAAGGTAGACAGTGGAGAGAATTTTTGAGGATTTCTTTGGAGAGAGTGGCTTGGGGGGCTGGGAGGTGGCCACATGGCGACTTCCCATCTCCGTCCCAGTGAAAGGGTTTCAAGGCACCACTTGGAGACACTTGGCACGTGTCCCCTATGGTTGGTAACACAGCAGAACGCTGTCAGAACACCACCTGGGAAAACTAGAGGAGGAGACGGGCCGGACCTGCTTTGGTGGCAGAGCAAAGGAGCGTGGCTGCAGCCCTGTGGTCAGTCTGCATACCCACAGTTTGTTTAGGCCAAGAATGCTCGTGTGTTTCCCACAGACCTGACGGAGGCACAGGGCAGAGATAGTGTGGGGGCGCCTCAGACCACGTCCAGCAGGCCACCAACAGGAGCCAGCCGACCTCAGCAGAGGTGAGGCTGGGGGCGGATCTTCAGACTCCCAGGGGCCCAGGAAAGTGGAATTGCTGGCCAGAATCCAGCACAGAGGGAGCAGCCTTCGGGGGGACAACTGGGATGGGGAGAGTCTGTAAGAATTCAAAACAAATCCCCACAAGAGAGTCAACTCAAACACTGCAGAGAGCGTGAAGCCAGCTCCGAGCAGTGCCAACCCAGGAAGAACTTTCCTGCCCCCACCCGCTGCCCTCCCCAACCCCAGAGGGCAAGGGCTGCAGCCCTGAGTGAGCTTTGACTGTTATTTGGGCTGGGCATTCTAATTAGCATTTGCACACTGTGTTTTGGGACTACAGAGACTAAGGTAACTTGATTACCCAGGAGTGATCGAAAAGTCAAGAGTTGGCTGGAGTTTTCGTCCTGGGCAGGGGATGTCAACGGACGGCGGGAGACAAAAATCATGTTACCGGGGACCCCACCCCATGAGTTGCTCCAGGGCCTTCACACCACCTTCACTCTCCAGGATGAGGCCTGCCCAGCTCTGAGGACATCCCCTCTGCCCATCGCAGAAGACCAACTCGCAAAGCAGAGCCTACTTTAAGGAGTCGGGTGGTGCTGCTCGGCCTCTGCATGGGCGCTCTCAGCTCACGGAGCCCGGAGGAAAGGCTGCCGTGAGCACCGTCTTCAGGAAGGAAAGAAAACTCCTGCCTGGGCCATTTCCCCACCCTCCATTGCTGGTGGAATGCCGCCCAGGGCTCTCCTGCATTTCTTCATCACCAGGGCAATGGCTGGGGTCCCTATATAAGCGCCATGGAGGGCACGTGAAGGAAATGCAGCAGGAGCGTGGGCTGAGCTGCGTGCTCCCCAAGGGGCAGGGCGGCTCTCCAGTGACTGGCGCCCCGACTCCAGGGCTATTTCTGGTCAGTGCCCTGTCTGAGCTAATCCCCATCATCCATGTTGACAGGACAGTCTCATCACCCCTGTTCTACGCAGATACGTTTGAAAAGATAGTCCTAGAAATGGATGCCACATTATATTGCTCAATTCCTCAGGGACTGTCCAGTTAAGATCCTCCAAATGTGGGGCCAGTCATCTGGACCCTGCCACACACTGGTGTTCCTGGGGGTAAACTGCCCCCTGGGGGGTGGTCCTGTCGCTGGGCAGAGTCCAGTAGGAGAGTGGACTGACCTCAGGGGTAAGGAAGGCAGGGTCTGCCACCAGCCTGCCTCAGAGAACCCTGCAGAGAACTCTCTGGAGTTGAGGCGCTGCTGAGACAAGGAGAGGAGAAGCGAGAAGGAAGCCAGCAGGTCCTCGAGCCTCTGGGAGGCTGGCAGGCAGCCACAGAAGCAACAGGCCATCGAGGCATCAAGTCCGGGACAACCCAAGATTCCCAGAGGCCAGCGTCCCGCCACGTTCCCGCCTCCCTCGGAGACGAGCATAACCCCTGCTGGCACCCACTCCTCCAGCAGGTCAGTGGGCCCCCAGTGGGGGCCTGTCATACCCCACCCTGGGAGTCGCCCTCACCTGTGGTTCCTTCTGGGATCTCTGCGTGGGGCTGAGCGGCCGCCTGCTCGCCGGGGGCTCCCTCGTCCACTAAGGGCGCTGTCATGTCTGGAAACCACCAAGAGTCACCTAGGGGGCCAGGAGGGGCCTTGCCAGCCCCCCTTTGCTTCTTGTAGGGAGCAGTGAGGGAGGGGGAGGCCAGAGGAAACTCAGCCGCATGCAAAAAAGCGACAGACAGCAGGGCCCAGAGCTGTGCTCCTGCCTGACGTCCCCCAGGAAGCACAGTGATGTTCTGCTTGAGTGACACTGGCTGGAGAGACGCCTGGGCCATCTGCCAGGAAAGCCAGGGACAGTCCCCATGTAAACACTGCAGAGAAAGAGACTGCTGGGGATGGTCCCAGGTGATTTTAAAGAAGAAATGCTGAAAACCAGATGACGGCTGTGAGGCCTTGGGCAAGTCCTTTGTCCTCTTTGGGCCTCAGTCTCCTCATCTGCAAAATCACCACCAGGTGACCTCCAAGATTCCTTCCAGCTCGAATCCCCTGTCTCCCTGAGCCCATGACGCAGGGTTAAAAAGCACAGACGCCCCTGGATGGCAATGAACAGGCCGGTCCCGTCCAGAGTTGGGTGCCTGACAACAGGCCTGCAGGTGGGTCTGCCCTCAGAGCAGAGGCTGGAGGTACAGCTCCACCACCAGGAGCTGCTGTGGGTCTCCCATCGCGGTGAGCTTTCCCCATCAGCATTCCTCCCCAGCCATGCCCTGGCATGCTCCCAGGCCATTCGAGGCAAACAGAAGGAGCTGTCAGCTTTGAAAGCTTTCCAAGAGCCTGAGTCAGTTTAGTCAAATGGGGCTCATTTTGATTACGGTCGTCTCGGGAGCAGGCAGAGCAGCCCGGCTGCGCTGAGCCCCAACAGGGTCCCCTTCCCTGTGGGCTGAAGCTGAAGCCCTGGGGCCACACACGTACAGGGTCCAGGGTGCAGCAAGACTGGGCTGGGAGATTCTCCAGGATAATGTTGGTGGAGCACTGACGACCATGACTTGGGAGGCTGGCACGAAATCTGGCATTAGTGTTCTAGGACTGTCTCAGGGCAGTAGGCAACTCACAAAACTGCCCCAACAAGATCAGTGGGAAACATCTTGCGTCACCAGCTCTAAGAAGGAGAGCAAGGAGCACTTGGCCTGAGTCTTCTCCGCCCTGGGCTGAGAACCACGGGGGGCGGGGGGGGGGCACGCCCACTATATCCTCCACCGATGCACCCTCCTGCCAAGCAACTGGCAGGCACTTGACAGCCACTTTCTGAGTTCATTCAAAGGTGGCTGCTGGGGAGATGCTGAGGCCAGGTTCTCATCCTGTGACACAGCATCTAAAGTAATGGGCAGGGCCTGGGGAAGTGCTGAGAACAGAACTGTGAGCCTCCATGGGGAGGATGGAGAGATGGAGGGGCAGACACTGCAGACTGGTTGCTCAAAAGCCATTCTCAATGCCCTTCTCCCTTAATTTCTCTTACTAAAGAGGCCAAAGACAAAATACTCAATGTCCCAGCCTCCCTTACAGCCAGGAGTGCCCATGAGACCCAGTTCTGGTCAGTGAGACACAAGCGGAAGTCGGCCAGGTGGGGCTTGCAGGAAAACTCTTGCTTTCCTAATAAAAAAGGAACACATTTGGTTTCAGGGCCTTTGGCCACTTTGCTTTGCTACTTTCTTCTTGCTTTGAAGGCAAGTGTGACGCTTGGAAGTACAGCAGCCGCACCGTAACCATGAGGTAACAATCCAGCCATTTAGGATGGCAGAAGATAAAGAGAGAAGAACACTGGTGACCCTGGGGACCTGCTGCCCAAGTCCAGACATCTTATTATGTAAGACAAATAAACTTCTTCATATCTATGCCACAGTTAGTTGGGTTTTCCACCACCTGCGATCAAATGCAGTCTTGACTGACATAGACGGGAAGCAAGAGAAGGTGGTCAAAACCAGAACCAAGGAGCACTTCAGGAAATGCATGAGGAGCCTTATAATAACCCAGACACCAAATGTCTGGAGGGGACAAGTTAGAAGATGGGCTGGAATTAACACCATGGCCAAGGTCCAGAGGCCCAGGCCAAGCCGAGAGCCTAAGAAATGGAGGATGCTAAACCCAGACCAGCCCTGAAGTGTGAGCTTGGAGATGTGCACCGACCTGCCCCTCTCCTCAGCCAAACGACTGCTCCGGGACCTGGTGGCTCAGGAAAGAAGAGTGAGGTGGGTGGGGGCTTCTGAAGGAGTCTGGGGAGGACAATCGACCTGGAGCAAGGGCTTTGTGGAGCCGTGTTTGCACCCTGATTCATCACAGACCCCAGCCTCTTCAAGTGCAACCACCTCAAAGCACACTCATGATGAAGGTGTCCACACCTGGCACTAGCGAGCAAGGCATCAAAGCAGGGCTTGGCTCCCACAAGACTCTGGGCCCGAGCCCCGTCCTGCAAAGCACTGAGCGAGCACATCTCTCAGCCAGAGGCAGAGGCAGCAGCGAATGCAGCCAGCAAGGGCGGCGCATATGGGCTCAAAGCACGGCTAAGCGCACGCAGTCTGGAGGCATGGAGGGAGCTGTGTGAATGAAGCAATGAGAGGAGGGAGGCCCCACCTTCCGCCGTCGGAGTGCTCTTAGCATCAGAGGTTTCAGAGCCTGGTTCCTCAGATCCGTCATCGGCGGGGGTCTGCAGGGGAGAGTCTGGAACATATACAATGAGCCCCTCAGAATGGCTGCCTCTCCCCATCCCCACCTTTTGACCTCAGGAGGAACTTGAAGCAGTATCTTTGGAGCTGAAAATCGCCCAGCATGGAACCCAGATGGGTGGAATGTGGCCACATGATAAAACCAAAAAGGGGACCAATCCCACTCCCACCCCAACACAACTGTGCCCCCACACCAGGGCCAAGGCAAAGACGCAGGTGATGTGTAGTTCTTCTTGGGCGAGAGGAGAAGTTGCCTTTTAATCAGCTTAGTGGTTCCAATCAAGGCCAAGGCTCTTCTATTGACAAAGAGGCAGCAGATATCAGAAAGCTAAGGCAGAGTAAACCTGGGGCTTCGTCTTTCCTTACTGGAGAGATTAACGGGAGATCATTGCCATGAATTAACGACGAGCAGACACCCGGAAAAACACTCAGAGATCCAACTCCTTCCTCTGAAAAAGAATTAGCTCCGGGCAGACACAGTGCCCTCTAACTGGACATTTGTTTGCATGTCTGGACTTCGCCCAGCTCCTTTCATAGAAAGATCCCCAAGTGCTGACCAATAAGCCTTGAGTTACACCTGAAATAGCCACAGTTACCTGCTGTCCTTTCGGAATCTGAAGCCAAGGAGGCACTGCTGGACTCTGTGAAAGCCGCTCCACCTGGAGTGGGGGCGGCCCTGGGGTCAGTTTCAGGACGGGGGTTGGGGGGCTGGTTCTGAGCATGAAGCAGAACCTCGAGATGAGAAAAGCCATGTGGTGCTCAAGGGTGCTTCAAGATCAGACACCAGCCCCCTTCGCTAAAACGCCTCCCTGGACACCAGCCCTGGCTGCGCCCATCCAGCCAAAGGACTAACTCTGAAGAAGCTTCCAGCACGCACACAGCTTCCTAGTCCTGGAGCTTGCAAAAACCTGCAAAGTGCCCCAAGAAGGCTTCAGACAAAAATGAGGAGGAATGTCATGCAAACTGTCTGCCGGGTCTTGTTATTACTAACCAGCCTTGACTGTCCAAGCACAGGAGCATATGGGGGCAACGGCACCCCAAGCAGGCTTGTCCCCCAAATACCCCCCCAATCTGTCCCTGAGCCCACAAGCCTCATCATTTGCATTATCCTTGTTAAATCCCTTGGAGGGAGGGAGGGAGGAAGGAAGAAGAAGCCTCTTTGAATGTCTTACCTGGAAGGTGTAACAAGTCACCCATTAACACCTTTTAATGCATTAGGGTGCATTATTTTATCCGTTAACCAACTTTCACTCACTTTGCAGCTCTCTGTGGTTGTATCTAGTCCTATTTCGACTTTTAGCATCCACTTATATACTCTTTGCTCTAGTATTTCACATGGGGTTTCTTGTCATTATTCAAAGTAGTCTCTGTCACTTATCTAAAATGTTGCTAGTAAAGTGACACCTTCTGCCAAGTCACACCCCTCACTCCCCGTATAAAAATAACTCATTCTAAATCCTTAGTAGCGAGAACAAATTTGATGAAAACTATGAAAATCTCTCAGGTATCACTTGCTTTCTTGGGAAGTATATTCTTTGGGTAAGCAAACTATCTTCAAATGCTTTCCTTTCACAGTGGTGACAAAAAGGTTAGCAACTTAAATTTTGCATATATGTATATATCTCATATATATGTTTCAGCATAGAACTTCTGGTCACATTTTATGTTAAAGAATCGAATAGTTTTAGCAAACATACTTTAGGCAACTTGAGACACAAAATAACTTGGTAAACTTGTTCTTACTTTACAAATTGAATTTAGTTTCCCGTTGAAAAAATAAGAGTGGCAAAAACCACTTTCTTTTCTGAACTTTTTTAAAAAGTGAACTTTTTATTTAAGAACAGTTTTAGATTTACAGAAAAATTGCAAAGATATGACAGAGAATATACCCCACACCCGTTTCCCCAATTTTAACATCCTACATTATGATGGTAATACATATTTTTAACTTAACTTTTAAACCAGGCTACCGTAAGCAGAGTGTCATTTGCACAATCCATACGGGGCAGAATTCAGGATGTTGTGACTCTAAGTTGGATTCCACCCAGGAGAGGTTAATAACTGAAGTTCCAGGGGACTTGGCCGAGAGTGATGAGAGGCAGAAACAGCTGACGTGGAGCAGGAGACGTGGTTCTGATCTAGCAGCACCATATACTAGCCCCATGACCTCGGAGAGGAGACCCTGTTTGTCATCTGTAAATGGGGGAAAGTACTATCTGCCCTCACCATTTACTGTGAGCACCACCTGAGACATTGGTGGCGAAAGACTTTGCCAACAGTAGAGTTCTACAAAAATGCCTGAATTATCATCTTAAGGAAGTTCCCTTATAAGTAGGGTGGCCATATCCTTTATCACCCAAATTGGGACCCTTGAAAGTGAACGCAGCAATACTAATGATGATGCAGAACAGAATACGGGGAGGTGTGGGCTCAGGTCCTCAGATGAGCGAGCTCTGAGAGCCCAGCTGCCCTCGTGGAGAGCTGAAATGTTTAGCAGCTCTGGCTGGAGCCTGGCTATGACCTGGGAGAGATCAGAATGCACATTTCTTGTTACCATTTGGTGCCTGACACCAGGCCGGGAGGTCTGGGCCCATTGGGAACGCCTGGCTGAGCGAGTGTTTCCCCCCACTCCCCTCGCCCAGAGCTTCAGGCTGGCCGGGCTCCCTAGAAAGCCAGAGGGTGGCTTCTGAGCTCCCCGGGACAGCAGGCCCACCTCCTCCAACTTGGAGCTCACTTGTCTAATGCCCAAGCTCCTCTGACTCCAACGAATTCTTCGCTTAAACAGATATGGAGAAGTCAGCCTTAGAAACAAGGCCCCCCAATGAGTCTTGAAACCTCTCTGAGATGCCGATCATTGTTCCACATGCTTCCCAGACCCAGGGGACCTCGTGGTGACCCAGCATCCTCCAGGGAAACTTCCTGGATAGATGTACCTCAGAAGAGGTCACTTCCTACCTGGGAGCTCCACCATTTCCATCCACTACCCCAGACCCTAGGCTGCAAGTCTTTTTATTATTTTTAGCATTAAAAGAGAAAAGTAGACTGTTTGCCATTTTGTCTCCTTAGAAATGGGTCTGGAGGGCAGGGATGGCGTCTTTCTTACACTGGGGCCACGTGGGGAGCAGGAGAGAGGGCCTGTGTGCTCCATGGGGCTCCCCAAACTTAGTGGTCAGATAGTGAAATGAAACACATTTGTCTGGAAGGGGAGAGGTGGAGGCCAAGCCAATTTGGCCAAAAGACTGTATTTTAGAATATTTAGAAGTTGAGGGCTGGCCCCGTGGCTTATCGGTTAAGTGCTCATGCTCTGCTACCGGCGGCCCGGGTTTGGATCCCGGGCACGCACCGATGCACCGCTTCTCCGGCCATGCTGAGGCCGCGTCCCACATACAGCAACTAGAAGGATGCACAACTATGACATACAACTATCTACTGGGGCTTTGGGGAAAAAAAAGGAGGAGGATTGGCAATAGATGTTAGCTCAGAGCCAGTCTTCCTCAGCAAAAAAGAGGAGGATTAGTAGGGATGTTAGTTCAGGGCTGATCTTCCTCACACACACACACACACACACACACACACACACACACACAAAAAGAAGTTGATGCAGTTTATTAATGTAGGTATAGTAGGAATCCCAGAGCTAACCAACTCTTGCCGAATAGGGCCCAGACAAGCCTGTAAGGAAGAGATAATGTATAAAGCCACGTATTTTCCATGCTAATAAATACTGCTGATTTATAGGTTAACAGGTATGGCTAAAGACTCAGGAGAGTACCCTGTATTAATTAGACCGACAAGCCCCCGCAATCTTTGTCACCCTACATCCACTCATGTGGCAAACTCTCCTTTGGAAAGATACATTTTCAAATAGCCTCATATTTTGAGTTAACTTGGTCCATTCAAATAAATGAGGCTTCACTCTATTTATTCACACAATAAAGTATTTAAAACTCCTTTAAAAATCTGGATGCAAACCCTTCCTGCCAGCCCTTTCCAAGGCAAATGGGTTGGCTGTGATCCCCAAGGCACCCAGGCCTGTTGTGCATAGCTGTGCACTAACCTTTCAGGCCGTGGTCCATGTCACCCTCCTGGTCTTGCAGCAGAGTGTAGTCCCCCTGGGAGGGGAGATCTTTCCTCTCCTCCAGCCCGTATGCACCAGCATGATCTTCCATCACCTCAAACTCCTCGCGGGGCTCAGCCATCCTGGTTCAAGGCCCACCTGCGAAAGGAAGATGGGAGGATGAGGCTGGGATGCTGAGCCGAGGCTAAATGCTTGGGGGGTGGGACGGAGGGCACAGAGAGAGAGGTGCCACCTCACCAGTTCATGGCAGGCAGATCCCTGCACCCTCTCCCCAACAACCAGATGCCCAACCTCATCCCATGCTCTGTATTCCTGCCAAAGCATTATTTACGTGTATGTGCACTTTTAATTCACCGATATCACATCAGTTCACATTCAAAACCAACAGGTGGGCCCAGCCAAGGGTCCTTCCTTTCCCATCCCTCTCCGACCCGTGCCATCTTCCTCCTCGAGAGCCAAGGGCAGAATGATTTTTTCTGGAAGAACTAGACAAAGCACATGTAAACCAACTGACAAATGACACAGCCACTCATCCTGGCCCTAAGACTTTCATGAAAAGACAGTAGATTGAAAAACACAAAAATAAGCTCGGCCCTGAGGTGGATACACAGCCCAGGCCAGACGTAGCCATCACCCCACAATCCCTGTAATCTACGCGAGACAGACGGGAAAACAAACACACCGAGAGCTGTTTTCCTAAGGCTGCACTTTGCTTTCTTATTCTTCAAAATTGATCAATCTCTTTGTCTCTCTCTCTCTCTGATTTCCTACCTCCTGTTTTCCCAGGCACTGATTTAGAGGCAGGGGGTGGGAGGTAAGGAAGAAATTTTAGGAAAGGCACAAAAGTTGAGTTAAACCTGAAATCGAAAACGGGCCATGCTTTAGGGACCCTTGGAAAAGTACTGCCTCCTGACAGGAGAAAACGAGATCCAGAGGATCCTGGGGTCTGTCCCTGTGACTTTGTAGCCCATGGGCAGAGGCAGAAGGCTGGGTGGGGGTGGGGCAGAGGAAGGGAGAAAAGTGTCCGCAGGGTTGAGAGGGAGATGGGACAAAGAAGACGGTGCAGATGAGGAGAGGATAAGGGAGGAGACACGGGGGCAGGAGGGAGTAAGGGCACCATGAGGGACGAGCCCCCGAATCAGATTATGGCTACTGCCACCCAGTCTTTCATTTAAAAATTTTTTTTATTGAGATAAAACCCACACAACAGAATATTAATCATTTTAAAGTGAACAATTCAGTGGCTTTTAGCATATTCACAATGTTGTGCAACCATCACCTCTATTTAGTTCCAAAATATTTTCATCACCCCAAAAAGAAACCATGAGCCCATTAAGCAATTTCTCCCCATCTCCCCCTCCCCCCACTCCCTACCCAACTGCTAATCTACTGTCTGTCTCTGCAGATTTACCTATTTTGGATATTTGAATAAATGGAATCATATACTACACGGCCTTTGTGCCTGGTGTCTTTCGCTTAGCATAATGTCTTCAGGATTCATCCGTGTTGTGGCATGTGTCAGGACTTCATTCCTTGAATAGGATTCCATTCTATGGATAGACGGCATTTTGTTTAGCCACTCATCCATTGATGGGTACCCATAGTCTCTGAATGAATTAAGAGTTTGGAAACAAAATAATATGGAATTTTTAATTGTGACTTCTGTCTGATAATGGTGAAATTGGGGTGGAGGAGGGGGTGAGGGCAGGAAGGGGCGGGATGGTGGAAGGAGACTGGCAGGGATCCCAGACAGTCTTCAACTTCCCCCCCATTTTGCCAAGGCTGGCCCCCACAGCCCTTCAGACCCTCAGGGGCACAGGGATGTGTCGGTGAGACCCAGGTCCCTTTTGCTCCCAAGAATTGGGCTTCCCAGGCTGCAAGGTGGAGTAAAGTTTCTGCCTAGTGGAGTGCACATCTTCTGTGCCGTTTACCTGAATAGGCACCTTTGTTTTCTGATCACCCCAGGCTGCCCTCTGAGGCGTCCAGAGGGGGATGAGGGAGCCCCAGGCACCTAGCCCAGCTCAGAGGTGACCTCTGGGGCATCACCTGGGTGATTTGCAATTTGCAGCGTGTCTGCCATTTTCCAGGGCACTTTCCCATGACAAACATCTAGGCTCACTACAAACCTGTGAGGTGGGTGGGATGCAAAGCCCAGACAGGTAAAGGGCCCCAAGAGGCTAAATGACTTGGTCAAGGCCACGGAGGCAGCCTGGGACCTGACTCGGGTTTGGTCCCAGGCTGTCCCTGTCCCAGGTCACCTGTCCCAGGCCCTGCTGCCGTCCGGGGCCCGGATTCCCAGCAGTTCTGATGCCTCTGCTCCCCGACGATTTCCACCTCCTTCTTCAATTAACAAAAGGCAATCAGTTGCCTCCTATCAGACCTTCCCTGGGGGTTCCAAACATGAAGCCCCAGGCTTTGCTCCTGCAGAGTTCTGGGGCGGGGGGCGCTCTGTAGGTTTCCGCTGACATGGAGCAATCTCTACCTGAAGGAGGTGAAGACCACAGAGCCTTCCTATACCCACCGCCATCCTTCCTATTCCTTCTAATTTTCTTACTCATGGCAATACATCTTGGTAATGAATAATTCAGGTTCTAGAAAGCTCCTTGGGTAAACCAGGGCGACACTCGACACCCTGTTGGCCGTTTTGGAATATTAATAGCATCTCTTTACTTGAACTCTGACTATGAGCCAGTCACAGAGTGGCCTCAGAGAGAGAATCTCTGTAATACAACAACCTCGTGAGAGGAATTATTGTCCCCACTTTCTGGATGAGGGAACAGGTTCAGAGAGATTCAGAAACCTGCTTAGAGTCACACAGCTGGTAAGTGGCAGAGCAGGGCTTGAACTCTGATCTTTTGATGCTAAAACCCATCTCTAGGCTACTGTATTATACCGGTGCCTTCCCAACAGAAAGTTAAAGAAACACAGGCCTTTTCTGCCCGCCAGGACTCGGGGAAATGACCCTGTCCCGGCTGGAGGCAGAGCCGAGGTGTGAAGCGAAAGCCCGCGTCAAGGGCTGGACCGCGCCCCAGCTCTCGGCGGGCCACGCTCCTGACGAGCTTCTCTCTGAATCAACTGGTCCCGAAGCCCACCCCCGGGGGCGGCGCCGGGTTGAGGGGAGCTCAGCGCCCAGCGGCAGCCCTCGCTAGGGGGCAGCAGACGCCCGGCCAGGGGGGCGGGGCGCCGCTGGCTGCAGCCCAGCCGGCCGCGAGCCTCGCCCGGAGGAACCGCAGGCGCGCGGCCCGGCCGCCGTGACTCAGCGGAATCACCGCCACCAGGCCGGGCGGTGCCGTCCAGAAAGAGGAGGATCGCCCTTAGATCCCCCACGTAAAAACCCAACCTGGAATTAGAGAGCAGTGATATTGTACAACCTTGTGAATATTCTGAAAACATTGAATTGTACACTTTGAAAGGGTGAATTTTATGGTATGTGGCATATCTCAATAAAGATGTTATTAAAAAAACACAAACACACTAAATGGATCTCTCAGATCGCTGAAGATCAAGCAGAGATCAACCTAGAATCCAAAAATAACCTTAAAATGAACTTCCTTCTCCAAGGTTATTTTTGACTCCTCATTCCATTTTTCCTTTGCTCTGGTCCCTTTTTTGCACCATCACGAATTTGCCAGTGCACTGGGGGGAAAACAGGATTCCATGTAATGATAGGAACCATGTTTCAAGCATTTCCAGAATTAACTCATTTAATTCACACAACTGCCTATTATTATGCCTACTTTCACAGATGGGGAAACTGAGGCTTGGGAAGGTTGAGTCAGTTTCCCAAGGTCACACAGTAGGCATCTAATGAGTCAGGGTTCAAAGCCCAGGCAGCCTGGCACCAGAGTCTGACCCTGTGAAGCCCACTGATCACAGATTAAATCAAGCAGTGACCGAGATATCAGGACACATGCTCAACTGAGCTAAAGCTTTTGTTTCCTTCAAAAACTTTCTCTTTGTATTTACGCTCTGTTCTCGAACACTTATGGTCCAGCTGTTTTACTTTAAGATATAAAGATCAGTGACAGGGCAAGCATACTAGTCTCCTGGGCCGAGGTGATGTCTGGGGCCAAGGTCATTAGGAAATCCCTCCATTCAGGAAGCAGGGAGCCAACTGTCCCCAAAGGAAGAGAAAGAGCTCCCAGGGCTTAAGTCAACACCCTCTTGAGGCTGGCTCTTCACTAACAGCTGGTCCCAACTGTGAGTGTCTGAGAAGGGGCTGCATCTCCTTTTGTGTTGCCCCTCCCAGCCCCCACAGGTGGCACCCAGCACGGAGTAGGCACAGGGAAGTCCTCACTAAGACCTGCTGGAAGGAAGACAGCATGGCAAACCTCAGAGGAGCTCTCAAGTGTGAGCTCATGGTCACATCATATCACAGTGTACCACAGAATGTTCTAGAACCAAATCTGAATACAGTCATGCCTCACTTAACACCAGGGATAAGTTCTGAGAAATGCATCGTTAGGCGATTTCATTGTTGTGCGAACATCATAGAGTGTACTTACACAAACCTATCTGGTATAGCCTACTACGCACCTAGGCTATATGGTACTAATCTCATGGGACCACTGTCATATGTGTTGTTCGTTGTTGACAAACATTTTGTGGTGCATGACTGTAATAATAATAATATCCAGATTTCAAGCAGAACTGCCAAATTAAGTGGAGAAAAGATAAAGGAGCCCACAGAGAGGAAAGACTTATGTTGGTGAGAAGAAGCTGGAATAATCCTGGGCCTCAATCCAAAGGGAACAATCAACAATTGTACGAAAGCATGAATGAAGGCTGCTTTTTGGGTGGCGGTGGTGCTGCTGAGTACACATGATGTGTCATGGCTGATGTCAGCCAGCTAATGTCCACCATCCTGAGAAAATTCACAGATTGTGTCTGAGAGGACAATTCTGGTTTTAAGCTTAAGGTTTCTGTTTTGTCGTTTTTCACTAAAGGCTTCTCTCCTTTGTAACCGCCGGTATCGCCAAATAGTGCGACAACATCTGTGAGGGGGACAGATCATGCCTGGGAGGCCTTTGTTTTTAGAACTACATTTTCCCCTCCAACTCTCTTTTCCATAAGCTTTGATCAGTTGGCTTTTGGTGAGCAGAGTGCTGTCATGTGACACTCTGATGGGTGGTGGAGGC